TCAATCTAACAAAGGAAGCAAAAGACCTGTACCCTGAAAACTACAGCACTCTGAAAAAAGAGATTGAAGAGGATACAAGAAAATGGAAAGACATCCCTTGCTCCTGGGTAGGAAGAATCAATATAGTGAAAATGGGCATACTTCCAAAACTACTATATAGATTCAATGCAAATGCCAATTGAAATTCCAACAATATACTTCACAGAACTAGAGAAAACAATCCAAAAATTCATTTTGAACCCTAAGAAAATTAAATAGCTAAAGCAATTCTAAGCAACAGAGACATGGCTGGGGGCATCACAATCCCCAACTTGAAACTATACTACAGAGCTACTGTGATAAAAACAGCATGGTACTGGCAAAGGAACAGACCCGAGGATCAGTGGAATAGATTAGAAGATGCAGAAACAACTCCAGACATGCCCAACCACCTCATCTTTGACAAAGGACCCAACCACCATCATTGGAGGAAAGATAGCCTATATAATAAATGGTGTTGGGAAAACTGGATTTCAACCTGCCAAAGATTAAAACTAGAACCATATCTATCACCATGCACTAAACTAAGATCGAAGTGGATTAAAGATACACATATTAAGACAGAAACACTAAACTTGCTGGAGGATAAGTAAGGTAGAACTCTTGAAGATATTGGCATAAGAAAAGACTTCATGAACAAAACCTCAGCAGCACAGGAACTAGCAGAAAGAATCAACAACTGGGTCTCATCTTATTAAAAAGTTTCTGCACTGCAAAAGAAACCACCAACAGAGCTAACAGACAACCTACAATGTGGGAAAAAAATTTTAGCAGCTATACCTCAGACAAAAGACTACTATCTAGAATATATAAAGAACTTAAAAACATCAGAACCCCAAATTCAAAGACCCAATTCAAAAATGGGCATCTGCAATGAACAGATATTTCTCAGACAAAGAAGTAAAAGCAGCAAACAAATATATGAAAAAATGTTCAACATCACTGATCACTTGAGAGATGCAGATGAAAACAACCCTGAGATTCCACCTCACCCCAGAAAGAATGGCTGCTATCAAGAAATCAACAAACAACAAATGCTGGCGGAGTTGTGGGGAGAAAGGAACCCTTCTCCATTGTTGGTGGGAGTGCATTCTGGTGCAACCACTGTGGAAGTCAGTATGGAAATACCTCAGAAAACTAGGACTAGAGGTCCCATTTGACCCAGCTATTCCCCTGCTGGGTATCTTCCCCAAAGAATTTTAAAAATCACACCACAGTGATATATGTGCACCCATGTTCATAGCAGCACAGTTTGTAATAGTTAAAGCTTGGAAGCAGCCCATGTGCCTATCAACTGGAACCTGAATAAAGAAAATGTGTTTTTTTTATAAAATGGAGTACTACTCAGCCATAAAAAATGAGAAATTAGAGACATTTATAGCTAA